ATGATATTGCACATCCTTTTGTGCATGTATCTGTCTTCTGTATATCCTTTTTGGTGAATGTGTTCAAGTCTTTTGTTCACTGTTTTCTTACTGTTGAGTTTTGATAGGATATGTTCTAGATACAAATTCTTTATTGGATATGTGATTTGCTGATACTTTCTCCAGTTTGTAGCTGTCTTTTCATTCTTTTAACAATGTCTGTAACAGAGCATAAGTTTTTAATTTCAGTGAAGTCCAGTTTATCAGTTTTTTTAATGGGTCATGGTTTTAGTATCATGTCTAATAACTTTTGGCCTAACCCCAGGTCATGAAGGTTTTCTTCTGTTTCCTTTTAATCTTTTGTTAAGTTTTATATCTTACATTTAGAGCTATAATCCATTTTGAGGTAGTTTTTTTGGTAAGGGGTAAGGTTTAGATTGCAGTTTAATTTTTGGATATCTAATTGTTTGGATATCATTTGTTGAAAAAATATTCTTTAAATATTGCATTGCCTTTGCACCTTTGTCAAAAATCATTTGGCGATATGTATGCAGGGTATAGTTTTTGACTCTCAGTTCTGTTCCATTCATTATCTATCCCTCTGTCTTAATGACTATAGCTTTTTTGTTTTTTGCTTTTTATTTTATTATTTTCTTTTTCATTATGGTTTATTACAGGGTACTGAATACAGTTCCCTGTGCTATACAGTAAGACCTTGTTGTTTATCTGTCCTGTATATGATAGTTTGTATCTGCTAATCCCAAACTCCCAATCCATCCCTTCCCCTCTCTGCCTCCCCCTTGGCAACCACAAGTCTGTTCTCTATGTCTGTGAGTCTGTTTCTGTTTCGTAGATAAGTTCATTTGTGTGTCATATTTTAGATTCTACTTTAAGATTTATGGTTTCACTTTAATTTCACTTAGATATAAGTGATATCATATGGTATTTGTCTTTCGCTTTCTGACTTCCTTCATGTAGTATGATAATCTCTAGGCCCATCCATGTTGCTGCAAATGGCATTATTTCATTCTTTTTTATGGTTGGGTAGTATTGCGTGTGTATGTGTGCACGCACGTGTGTGTGTATATGTATATATGTACACACACGCACCACATCTTCTTTATCCATTCATCTGTTGATGGACATTTAGGTTTCTTCCATGTCTTGGCTGTTGTAAATAGTGCTACTGTTAACACTGGGGTGCATGTATCTTTTCGAATTATAGTTTTGTCCAGATATATGCCCAGGAGTGGGATTGCTGGATCATATGACAACTTTAGTTTTTTGGGGGAACTTCCATCCTGTTTTCCATAGTGGCTGCATCAATTTACAGTCCCACCGATAGTGTAGGAGGGTTCCCTTTTCTCCACACCCGCTCCAGCCTGTATTATTTGTAGATTTTTCTAACGATGGCCATTCTGACTGATGTGAGGTGGTAACTCATTGTAATTTTGATTTGCATTTCTCTGATAATTAGCGATGTTGAGTGTCTTTTCATGTGCGTATTCGCCATCTGTATGTCTTTTTTGGAGAAATGTCTATTTAGGTTTTCTGCCCATTTTTTGATTGGGTTGTTTGTATTTTTGTTATTGAGTTGTATGAGCTGTCTGTATATTTTGGAAATGAAGCCCTTACTGGTCACATCGTTTGCAAATATTTTCTCCGAGTTCGTCTTTTCATTTTGTTTATGGTTTCCTTTGCATGCAAAAGCTTAAAAGTTTGATTAGGTCCCATTTGTTTATTTTTGCTTTTATTTCTTTTGTCTTGGGAGACTCACCTAAGAAAACATTGGTATGATTTATGTCAGAGAATGTTTTGCCTATGTTCTCTTCCAGGAGTTTTATGGTGTCATGTCTTGTATTTAAATCTTTAAGCCATTTTGAGTTTATATTTGTGTTTGATGTGAGGGAGTGTTCTAACTTCACTGATTTACATGTGGCTGTCCTGCTTTCCCAACACCACTTGCTGAAGAGACTGCCTTTTCTCCATTGTATATTCTTACCTCCTTTGTCAAAGATTAATCGACCGTAGGTGTGTGGGTTTATTTTTGGGCTCTCTCTTCTATTCCATTATGATCCATATATGACTGTTGCTTTATATTAAGTCTTAAGATTAGATAGTGTGAATTCTCCAACTTTGTTCTTTTTCAAAATTATTTTGGCTATTCTAGTTCATTTGCCATTGTTGCTACTTCGCATTTACTGCTAAGGGTGTGAAATAATATTCATTCCCTTTCATTTCCTAACCAAAATCTTTTTTTTAATACCATGCTGTGTGTTCATGTGTGTGTTTATGGTTGTTCTGGGCATCAGAGTGATTTCTTGATCTTGCTTGCATTTGCGGGGAGGGAGTGTTAATCTTGATACATGGCCAAAATAGCCTGCATTCATTGCATTCTTCAAACATAGAAAAATAATAATATAGGAAACATCAATGTTAGAATCAGCTTGTTGATGTGTATCAAAAAAATCCTGCTTGGATTTTGATTGGGCCTTCATTGAATCTGTAGAATAGTTTGGGAAAATTTGTTATCTTTACAATAAGGAGCCTTCCAATCCGTGAACATACATGTCTCTCCATTTATTTAGCTCTTCTTCGATTTCTTTCATCAGTTTTGTGTAGTTTTCAGGATATTAGTCCTGTACATATTTTGTTAGATTTGTACCTAAGTTTTATAGGTTATTGGGTAGTTTTGTTTGTTTAAGATTCCTTGGGATTTTTCATTGTAAACAATCATGTTGTCCTCAAGTAGAAAGTTTTATTTTATTTATGAAATGACTTTCATTTGTTTTTCTTACCTTATTGCATTAAGATCTCAGTATGATGTTGAATAGGAGGGATGAGAACAGACATTCTTACCTGATGTTAGGGAGAAGCGTTCAGTCTTTGACCATTAAGGATCACGTTAGCTATAGGCTTTTTTGTAAATACCTTTTATCAAATTAAAGACATTGTCTTTTTAGTTTTCTAAGAGTTTTTTTTTATCATGATTGGTTGTTGAATGTTATTAAATAATTTTTCTGCGTCTATTGAGGTGATTGTGGTTTTTCATCTTTAATCAGTTTATATTGTGAATTGCTTTTCAAATAGTGAAACAGCCCTACATTTCTAGGAAAAACTCCACTTGGTCATGATGTGTTATCCTTTCTATATAGTTGGATTCAATTTGCTAATACTTTATTGAAGATTTTTGCTTCTGTGTTTATGAGAGGTTTTGGTCTGTGAGTTGTGTTTCTTGTAGTATCTTAGTCTTTGGTATAGGATAATGATATTCTCTTAAAATAAGTTGGAAGTTTCTTCAGTTCTGTTTTCTGGAATAATTTGTGGAGAATTGGTAATATTTCTTCCTTAAATGCCTGTTATAAGAAAACCTGAAGTTTTATTTGTTGGAATGCTTTTAACAACAAACTCAATTTCTTTAGTAGATCTAGGACTATTCAGGTTACATATTTCTTTTTGAGTGAACTCTGGTTTTTTCTGTCTTGGGAAGAATTTATTTCCCTTAAGTGCTGCTATTGACATTTTAAATACCAAAAAATGTTTATACTTTGGCAGTTTGTTGGTGGCCACCCCGTCACATTCTGCCCTGTTCATCTTTTGGTGGGAGCATTTTACCCATTCAACAAAACTGTTTTAAATCTGAGAAGCAGCATAATGTAGTAAATAAAGTGTATATTCAGTATATTCAGTCTGATGACTGAAGAGTAAATGACATAATCCGTGTAAAGTGCTTGGTAAACACTAATTTAAATAATCCCATTTTTGTTATCATCTTCATCAGTGTAATCTCTTGGTGGTATCCAGCAACAGTCGGTGGTATCCAACAACAGTCATAGGTTTTGCTTCAGACTTGTTGGTGTTTCAGACTACAAAAGCTTTTCTTTTTGTTTTAAATTAACAGTTTTCTAACTGGCCTTGTCACATATGTGGCCTCTAGCTAGGAACATCTTTTTAACTGTAAATACCTTTTTCATCTGTGTCTTTCTCTCCTCTGAAAACCATATGTGTACTTAGATGCATGCACACACACATATAACATATATACACAAACATATATAACTATTTCCTTTTCCATTATTTTTAGTTTCTACATCAGAGCAGCTACAGTGCTAGTAAAGTGGACAATGTGAAATAAAGCTTTTGTTTTTGTCATGTGTGGTCCCTTAATTCAGTGAATACTTGGATGTGTATTTTAAAAATCACCTGGAAAGCTTGTTTATAGTGTTTTCTGGGCCTCATTTCCAGAATCTAATTCATTTGGTTGGGTAGGGCTCATGAATGTGCATTTCTGACAAGATCACTAATCAGCTGAGTTGGAGGCTATTGTATAGTGGTTGGAAAACTATTATAAATACTCAGAACTTCTTCACTAAATTATAATATTGGGCATGTCATCAAACTCTCATATATAGTCATTAGTGATTAATCTCTTTAATATAGCCTTTATTCTCTTAAAATATACCTGTCAGTATACCTGTTGATATTTTGTCTCTCACTTATTTTTGAACTGAAATTTCCTAAGATCTAGTCAGATCTCATGTTCAAAACATTTTGAATTTAGACCTTTCTTCCCCTCTTCCTTTCTACATTTTTTTAAACTAATTTGTGACTTTATAGACATGCACATTTGTGACTGTATGGACACATAATATATTTTCTTCATAGTACCTAAATGCATCTTATTTCCTCACACATAGAAATTTTCTTGATGGATCATTTTTTTCCATTTTAGTTTAAAAGAAAAATTTGCTTATAAGAAAATATTTATATGTAGGCAGCTTTGAATCCTTAAATGCATTAGTTATATGTATATTTTATCTACATTCAGTCTATGCATTGTGATTATATTAAATGATTAAAACAGTAATAAACTTAGGGTGTTTGAGTGAAAAGATGTCACTGTCTTTAAAATCTTAAGCCATTTTCAGTAGAACTTTGAAGTATTTTAATTTTGCATGGTTTTTGGTTGTTTTAGCAGAGGCCTATGCTGTGGAACATTTATAACTTTGTTTCTGTTTTAGGTGCGTATAGCAGCAAAATTCATCATTCATGCCCCTCCTGGAGAATTTAATGAGGTGTTTAATGGTGAGTGTTTAATTCATAACACTTAAGCCTTGATATATCAAGCACTCCTTTTTTTTTTTTTTTTTTTTTTACATACAGGGACCAAAAGCTACTGGCGCTTTCCAGGATGCCACAGAATAAGCGTAACTTCACACACACTTTAGTTTCACATAAACTTTACTCTGTTTCAACTTCGGTCTGTTGACTGCTTCTCTGAAACCAGCGGCCATGGCTCACGGGCCCAGCCGCTCTGCAGCATGTGGGATCCTCCCGGACCGGGGCACGAACCCGTGTCCCATGCATCGGCAGGCGGACTCTTAACCACTGCGCCACCAGGGAAGCCCAAGCACTCCTTTTTTAAAGAATAGGTTACATAACCAAAGTAACTAAGTTAAGGGGAGTGGGTAGAAAAATCTGTATTTTCTGAATTACAGTGAAAATTTTTGTCAATCTGGATTTTGTAAGGTCTAGAATATAATGTGTTTATGACATATAATTATGTTTGCAAATTTTAACCCTCTTACAGAATAACATTAAATCATTTTAAAAGACAAGAAAATTTTAATTTTAGTTTTTTTTTGGAGTTGTAAAGTGCATTTTTTATGTTTCTTTTAAAGAAAAGCCTACTTGATTAATAGGAACAGCCAAAAAAGAGGGAGGAACATTGTTTCACTGTGCTTGTTTCCTGGGCTTAGAAGATGACATCACATGTAAAAACAATTTGTTATTTAAATTATATCTCATAAACCAGTTCACAGTATACCTTTCTTTAAACCTCACACCTCGCTGGCAAACAGTTTTATAATTATTCACCCATAGATGAGAAATTTAAATACAACATAGTCTCCTGGTTGCTGTAAAAACTGTAACAATAGCTCCTCTTTAACAGAATGAAGTGGTTGAAATAGTTGTGCAGAAAATGGCCTGTAGTGATTTTTATACAAAACTTCTTTTTTTGTGCGGTACGTGGGCCTCTCACTGTTGTGGCCTCTCCCGTTGCGGAGCACAGGCTCCGGACGCGCAGGCTCAGTGGCCATGGCTCACGGGCCCAGCCGCTCCGCGGCATGTGGGATCTTCCCGGACTGGGGCATGAACCCGCGGTCCCCTGCATCGGCAGGCGGACTCTCAACCACTGCGCCACCAGGGAAGTCCTATACAAAACTTTTTTAAAGCAGTTTTAAGAATAATAATCTACCACAAGTACTTTAAATGCGTAATTTCTACTTCATATATATTTGGCTTTCACTATGTCTTAAATTAAAACTAATTTATACAGTGCTCTTCAGTTTCATTTTTTAAACATTCTACTCCAGAGTAAGCTATTTAAACCTGTTTTTTAAGAAGTTTAATCTCTCATTTTCATTCATAGTATAAGATATAATGGAATCTCACCTCAGAAAAGATTAGGTTTGAGAGTCAAAAAATGAGGCAAAAATTGTATAAAGTTAAAATACCCTAGAAAATCCCTTAAATCATCCACAAACAAGATTAATATATGATTTAGTACATACAGTTACATATAGTAATTTTTATACATTTAAAAATTTAACCACTGAGCTACACTTAGAGGAAGAATGGCAGTCTATATTGTGAAAAATCTGGAAGTTAAAATATTCTTCCTTTCAAGATAGCCATAAAATCTGAAGCAATGAATTGGGAAATTGGGGAGAATTCAGAAGTATTTCTTCTTCCTATAGGGTTTAACTTCTGTTTTAATATTCAGCCTTTATAACCTAAATACAGCTTAATACGTTTGATGGTTGGGGCATTAAAGAAGATAGTCTTTTCTCCATAGGGTCAAAAGTTGGCATTTAACTTAAATTGATAATGGGGAAACTGTGCTAAAGTCAGTAGCCCCCAAACTCCCGTACAATTTATAGAGCCAGGAATAAATTATAATTCTAAGAAAAGATTTTCACTTACTATTCTTACCCTGAATTAAATGCCCAACAAATTTCTTAATCAGAAAGACCCTGAAAGAACGTATGCGTCCCAGAAATTGCTTTTCTAAGTCTCATTGGAAATTGATGTTGAGTTGATATGTTCTGTGTTGACGTACAGTAGGCATTTTGGATGAGGACTTGGGCATTCAGGATGAGCCATTCAGTAGACCTGGGCTGGAACTGTGGAATGGAAATGGGAATATATATGTAAGTTTTAAATGAGGGAGTATTTTAGAGTGAGAAAGGAGTTAAGTATTTGAGGGGGAAATCTCATATGCATTTGGTTATTTTCATGCTGTTTTTGTTGATAATATTAACATCAGAATGATTCCATTGAAGCCACAAATTTTAGAATTTCAGAGTCATAAAATCTTGTCAGATCAGTGGTTCCCAAATGCTATTTCCTAGATTGGCTATGTAAGAATCATTAAAACAAAGATTTCTGGTCTTCGTTCTCAGGAACTGATGTGTTACCTGGGCTGGAGCTCTGAAATGTATACTTTTTTTTTTTTTTTTTTAAAAAGACTCCCAACCAAACATTGTTCTGATGTGTGGTCTGACTTGAAACCACATCCTTTCTTAAGAGTAGTTTTTATTTTATTCAAATTATTCTCTATTTCTTTCACTGTATTCTTCATATGATAGAAGTTTTTACTTTTTTTCCAGAGTAAAGATAACTGGATCATGTAGATATTGCTTTTAAATTATTTTCCCATTTAGGTAGAACTGAAAAAGATATACTACCTACCATGCAATACTGCTGTTAATGATTATGCTTTACATATTGAAGATACAATAATCATATTTATCAAATCGAATTCCCAGTTTACTTTGTGAGATAAGAATACCTATAATTGTAAATGTCTGTGTTTTAATTTTTTAGGCAGAAGCTTCCATTGTTTAAAATCAGTTAATTTAGAAATCAAATTAGTATTATTTTAGTGGTTAGCCAGATACTGTTTTTTAAATTGGGACTTCCTGCTAAAAAGAGGTATGTGAATAGGCAATATTTTTTTTTTTGGAATAGCTTTATTATTTTTGTAAAAATGATTCATAGTCATTCTAAAATTTCCAAAGAGCAAAAAAGAATCTAAGAATCACACAGAGTTCTACCCTCTCTTCTCCACTGTTTGAATGAAATACTTCCAACATTTCTCAATTTATACACATATATATAACATTGCATAAATATCATACTGTACATGCTCGGTTTTCCCCTTCTTGTTTATTATATTATGTATATATTTCCAAGTTGATAAATACGTATCTACATTATTTCTATTGGATGCCCAATTTTATACTGTTCATAAGAACTATTGTCTGTTTATGTTACATTTAACCAGTTTCTTAATAGAAAGTACTTAAGTTATTTGTGTTATTTTCATTTAATGAAAAAAATTAGGCTACTTTGTTATATGTACTTTATGATAGCAATTATGTAAAACGGCCAGGTGTATAGGGAAAATAATGAAAGAAAATACATCAAGACTAGAGTAGAATTTTGTTTGTTTTTTGGTGAAATTATGTGATTTTTTTTCCAATTAAAATTGTAGTTTTAAAGTTGTGTTTTAATGATTAAAAGGCACGTGTCTACATAGTTGAGTCTGAAGTTAGGACAGAGTTAAGAATCAACAACCAAAGTGAGATTACTAAATCAAATAAAGTAGTTATCCATATCTAACTCAACACATTCATCTGTTGTTGAACATGAGCTGTCTGAGAAACAAAATGCCTACATCTGTACTGCATTCACAAGCTGTTTCTTGTTTAATCACTTTTTCCGTAGAGCAAATTCATTTGAAACTCATGATAGTATTGTCAGACTGAGAGGCATAGTGCTCAGTCTTTGGCAGATCTTATCACACCATCTTTTTGGTGTAGCTTATCTCCACTTTAGTTCTTTGGAGACATGTTATAGTCTGCCTGCATTGACTATTATGAGTATAAAATAACATATATTTTAATCTCATTCCATCTGCTATATCCTTACCAAAATCTTTTCTTTTTTTATTAATACCATGATATGTTTTTGTGGTTATTTCGGTCATCACAGTGATATTTTGATCTCCCATATATGTTTTGGGGGGTGGGTAGGATACTGACACATGACTAAAATAACCTAAATTCATTCCATAGAAATTTCAAATATAGGAAAATAGTAATATAGAAAAAATAATGTTTGTTTTGCAGATGTTCGGTTACTGCTTAATAATGATAATCTTCTCAGGGAAGGAGCAGCCCAGTAAGTATTATGCATTATATTAACATAATTAAAGTGACATGGGAAAAAATATTTTAAAAGTGGTTTTTAGGTACTAAACCATGAAATAGATATTTGCACATCAAGTTCAAATATATGTAATAATATGTATGTACTAGGTTAGAGGAGAAATATTTTTGATCACAGGATATAGAGACACAATTATAACATGAAATTCTCTATTCATTGTGTGTTTGGCAGTGGCTTATATACTCAATACTGTATTTTGACATTTGCAAAGTTGGATAAAATTATCTTAAAAACTTTGATTTGTGAAATTGTGATGCCTTAAATTTTATGCAGGTTTTACTTTCTGTTAAATGCTTGATCCTAATAGATTTTTGAGAAGGACCTACTGTATAGCACAAGGAACTATATTCAGTATCTTGTAATAAGCTATAATGGGAAAAAAGTCTGAAAAAGAATATGTATATGTATGTATAACTGAATCACTTTGCTGTACACCTGAAATATTGTAAATGAACTGTACTTCAGTAAAAAGAAGTAGATTTTTGAGGGTTAGGAGCTTATTTTATTCATCCATAAATACCTAACATAGTATCTGACACATATCTACTTAATAAGTATTTATTAGATTTGTGAGTGATTCAAAGAACTAAGCAGTTCTAAATCCTAGTACATTATCTTTGGACCAATGACCACAATCATGACTTGCCACAACTATCTTAAGATTTCAGAGAGATAATTGGTTATCTTTCCCTCTCCCACCTCCCTAAATAAGGCCTGTGGACCCGTATTTTAGGCTAATGGACTCCGTTACTCATTTGAAAATGAGGAGATTAAATGTTCAGGTGCCTTACAAAGGGTGTTCAGTATCATCCAGTCACCTACTTTCATCTTAGTGTACTACTCAAAATGTGAAGTCCTGACTAATGGGGGAAATTTGCTATTTTTGTAATGTTTGTAAGGCTTTATTGAGTAAATTTGTTAATCCTAATGAAGGTAGAGGTTCAACAGACTTCTAGACATACCTGATTTTGCTTCTGATTTAAATTTCTGTTATTTTTTTCCCATTTTTAAATCGAAGTGTAGTTGATGTACAATATTACATATGTTATAGGTATACAACATAGTGATTCACAATTTTTTTAAGTTATATTCCATTAATAGTTACTGCAAAATACTGGCTATATTCCCTGTGTTGTACAATACATCCTTGTAGCTTATTTATTTTATACTGTACATAATAGTTTGTATTTCTTAATCCCCTACCCTTATCTTGCCCCTCCCCCATTCCCTCTCCCCACTGGTAACCACTAGTTCTCTATATCTGTGAGTCTGTTTCTGTTTTGTTATATTCACTAGTTTGTTGTATTCTTAGATTTCACATATAAGTGATATACAGTATTTGTCTTTCTCTGACTTATTTCACTTAGCATAATGCCCTCCAGGTCCACCCATGTTGTTGTAAATGGCAAAATTTCATTCTATTTTATGGCTGAGTAGTATTCCATTGTATATATTTACCACTTCTTCTTTATCCATTAATCTGTTGATGGCCACTTAGGTTGCTTCCATATCTTGGCAATTGTAAATAATGATGCTACAAACATTGGGGTGCATGTATCTTTTTGAAGTAGTGTTTTTATTTTCTTCCAATATATACCTAGGAGTGGAATTGCTGGGTCATGTGCTGGTTTTATTTTTAGTTTTTTGAGAAACCTCCATACTGTTTCCCACAGTGGCTGCACCAATGTACATTCCCACCAACAGTGTAGGAGGGTTCCCTTTTCTCCACGTCCTCTCCAGCATTTGTTATTTGTGTTCTTTTTGATGGTACCCATTCTGACAGGTGTGTGGTGGTATCTCACTGTGGTTTTGATTTGCATTTCCCTAACGATTAGCAATGTTGAGCATTTTTTCATGTGCCTGTTGGCCATCTTTATGTCCTCTTTGGAAAAATGTCTGTTTGTCTTTTTGCTGTTGAACTGTATGAACTATTCTGGATATTAATTCCTTATCAGTCATATCATTTGCAAATATTTTCTCCCGTTCGTTTTGTCTTTTTGTTTTGTTGATGATTTCCTGTTCTGTGCAAAAGCATTTATGTTTATTTAGGTCCCTTTTATCTCCTTTGCTTTAGGAGACGGATTCAAAAAAATATTGCTACGATTTATGTAAAAGAGTGTTGTCTGTGTTTTTCTCTAGGAATTTTATGGTTTCCAGTCTTACATTTAGGTCTTTTTTATTTTTTATTTTTAAATTTTATTTTTTTATACAGCAGGTTCTTATTAGGCATCAGTTTTAAACACATCAGTGTATACATGTTAATCCCAATCACCCAATTCATCACACCCCTCGCTGCTTTCCCCCCTTGGCATCTGTACATTTGTTCTCTACATGTGTGTCTCAATTTCTGCCCTGCAAACTGGTTCATCTGTACCATTTTTCTAGGTTCCACATATATGCGTTAATATACAATATTTGTTTTTCTCTTTCTGACTTAACTTCACTCTGTATGACAGTCTCTAGATCCATCCATGTCTCAACAAATGACTCAGTTTTCTTCCTTTTTATGGCTGAGTAATATTCCATTGTATATATGTACCACATCTTCTTTATCCATTCATCTGTCGATGGGCATTTAGGTTGCTTCCATGACCTGGCTATTGTAAATAGTGCTGCAATGAACATTGGGTGAATGTGTCTTTTTGAATTATGGTTTTCTCTGGGTATATGCCCAGTAGTGGGATTGCTGGATCATATGGTAATTCTATTTTTAGTTTTTTAAGGAACCTCCATACTGTTCTCCATAGTGACTGTATCAATTTACATTCCCCCCAGCAGTGCAAGAGGGTTCCCTTTTCTCCATACCCTCTCCAGCATTTGTTTGTAGATTTTCTGATGATGCCCATTCTAACTGGTGTGAGGTGATACCTCATTGTAGTTTTGATTTGCATTTCTCTAATAATTAGTGATGTTGAGCAGCTTTTCATGTGTTTCTTGGCCATCTGTATGTCTTCTTTGGAGAAATGTCTATTTAGGTCTTCTATCCATTTTTGGATTGGGTTGTTTGTTTCTTTAATATTGAGCTGCGTGAGCTGTTTATATTTTGGAGATTAATCCTTTGTCCATTGATTTGTTTGCAACTATTTTCTCCCATTCTGAGGGTTGTCTTTTTGTCTTGTTTATGGTTTCCTTTGCTGTGCAAAAGCTTTTAAGTTTCATTAGGTCCCATTTGTTTATTTTTGTTTTTATTTCCATTACTCTAGGAGGTGGATCAAAAAATATCTTGCTGTGATTTATGTCAAAGATTGTTCTTCCTATGTTTTCCTCTAAGAGTTTTATAGTGTCTGGTCTTAAATTTAGGTCTCTAATCCATTTTGAGTTTATTTTTGTGTATGGTATTAGGGAGTGTTCTAATTTCATTCTTTTACATGTAGCTGTCCAGTTTTCCCAGCACCACTTATGGAAGAGACTGTCTTTTTTCCATTTTATATTCTTGCCTTCTCGGTCATAGATTAATTGACCATAAGTGTGTGGGTTTATTTATTTATTTCTGGATTCTCTATTCTGTTCCATTGATCTATGTATCTGTTTTTGTGTCAGCACCATACTGTTTTGATTACTGTAGCTTCATAGTATAAGTCAAGTCTGGGAACATGATTGCTCCATCTCCGTTCTTCTTTCTCAAGATTGTTTTGGCTATTAGGGGTCTTTTATGTACTTTTATCTTTTTTTTTTTTTAAGAAGATGTTGGGGGTAGGAGTTTATTTATTTATTTATCTTTGCTGTGTTGGGTCTTCATTTCTATGGGAGGGCTTTCTTTAGTTGTGGCAAGCGAGGGCCACTCTTCATCGCGGTGCGCAGGCCTTGCACTATCGCGGCCTCTCCAGCTGCAGAGCACAGGCTCCAGACGCACAGGCTCAGTAGTTGTGGCTCACAGGCCTAGTTGCTCCGCGGCATGTGGGATCCTCCCAGACCAGGGCTTGAACCCGTTTCCCCTGCATTAGCAGACAGATTCTCAACCGCTGCGCCACCAGGGAAGCCCACTTTTATCTTTTAATAGCAATTTGTATTTACTATTTTTTATTGTGGGGAAAATATACTTAGTATGAAGTTTAACGTTTTAACCATTTTTAGGCACACAGTTCCTTGGCCTTAAGCACATACACATTTTTGTGTAACCATCACCACCATCCATCTCCAGAACTTTTTATTTTCCCAAACTGAAACTCCATACCCTTTAAGCAATAATTTCCCATTCTCCCCTCCTCCTAGCCCTTGTGAACCATCATTCTATTTAATGTATGAAGTGGAGTCATACAGTATGTGTCCTTTTGTGACTGGTTTATTCTACTTAGCAGAATGTCTTCAAAGTTCATTTATGTTGGAGCATGTGTTAGAATTTCCTTCCTTTTTTTTTTTTTTTTTTTTTTTTGCTGTACGTGGGCCTCTCACTGTTGTGGCTTCTCCCGTTGCGGAGCACAGGCTCCGGACACGCAGGCTCAGCAGCCATGGCTCACGAGCCTAGCCGCTCCGCGGCATGTGGGATCTTCCCAGACCCGGGCACGAACCCGTGTCCCCTGCATCGGCAGGCGGACTCTCAACCATTGCGCCACCAGGGAAGCCCTTCCTTCCTTTTTAACACTGAATGTGTGTGTGTGTTTATATACATACATACATATATATATATATATATATATATATATATATATATATATATATATACACACACACCACATTTTGTTTATCCATTCACATGTCAGTGGACAGTCGGGTTGCTTCCACCCATTAAGTATTATATTAAAGTACATAATAAAAATCAGTTTACTTGATATCTTTGATTTTAGTTATTAGTTTCTGGGTGAATGGCCTCTTATTCCTAAGTTCTTTAAACCTTTTAAAATTATTTATATACCCAAGTAAAATTAGTTTTCTTTACAATACCATATAGCATGTTGACAAAAGTCTTACGGAAGTAAAGAAAATATACAATGTTTATGAACTTGTAACAACGG